CAATATAAAGGTGCTTTGTTGAGGTATATAAGTACTTTGTTGGTTATTAAATTGAGATTAAGTATATGATTTATATTAAGGTTTATTATTAAATAGAATAGAGTCAGGTGCTAAGTAGTGTTAGTTGTTAGTTACTTTACAATTAATAGGTAGGTTATATACAGCACATGTATATTGGTGCATAATAGATGAAGGAAATAAGCTAAGTAATAGTAGAATAAATTCAGTAAAATTTATAATATTATGTATAAGAGATTTTTTATCTTTAGTTTTTTTTTTTTTTTTTAATATTAAAGTCTCTGCCTTTGAGAATTAATTTTTTTATTCAAGTATTTAGACATAGATGCCTTCAGGAGCTTTCATGCATAGAAGGTTACAACTAGCCACATGTGCACTTTTGGTGTCTAATTTAAGTAGTCTGCCTTATATTATTATACAGGTTTTATACTAGGTGCCATATCTGCAAGCCAACTATAGGTCTTGTCTATTTAAATTCTCTGCATATGTAATCTGACTTGTGATCATGGAAACATCTTCTGAGCTACATTCATTCAAAGTACTTGATGCTTTCAAGACTCTTAGAACTAGTTTACCCTTGACAGGAAACTTACTAGAACCTTTTGTATTCTATATACAGCTAACCTAGTTTTATACAATATGCTATAGTTACCTAACACTTGCAATTACAGAGGTTACCTGTTTAACTACTACATTACACTATTTTTACCTTTGTAAAGTTTACTAGAACCCTAGTACCTATCATCATAATGTTTTCTTCATTATCTCTTACTAACTACTACCTAGAATAACAGGACTCTTCTGATTTTTAATTCAGATAGCCTGATATGGTATACTTATGTATTCTTTTCCTTTAGCAATTCTGGCAGGCTGGTTGGTTATATGCTTCTTTATACATCTTAACCTCTGGTTTATCCACTTATCTCTTTCAGGGTGTTTTATAGACTTCTATTAGTCTGATCGTACTGTCAAAAGTTCATGCTATCTCTTTACTTAAGAATTTCCAAGTGGCTTCTGACTCTTCAGTTTTTTAGTTTACTGCACCTAGTGGTCTTATTATGGGTTTGTACTAAAGTCTTATGTGATACTAATTATTAATATTTCTCTATATATATATAACATTATACTTGGCATAGATGCCCTAAGCTTCCATTTGAGATAGTGCGACTTAAGGTTACAGATACACAAATTCAACTAATCATCAAAAAACAGTTTGCTGTAACATAGGTTAATTTCCAAATTTTGTTGTAAGTAGGATTTGAACTTAGACTTGCCACTTGAAGAATGACAATCTAACTACTATACTAGGATTGCCATCCTCTATGTTTAGTTTTTTTAATTACATTAATTGCTTCATTTTTATAATATATTTGGTTTGTTGCTGAAATAAAGTGTGTATGAAATTTTTTACAAAAACAACTAACAATAAAACTTGTTGTTGGTGCCTTGAAAAAGTGACTAGTTTTAATAGCACTTCTGAGTTTAGTTGTTATACAGCTACTAGGTTGTTTGTTAGGAGGAATAAGATGTAATGCATTTATGTTATCTTTATAAATTCCAATACTAAAACTTTTAGGATATTTTGAGTAGAAGTAGTCAAGATCAATGGTATCAGGTGTGACTGTTATCAAGATAGGCATTTTGTGTAACTATGTGTACTAAATAATTTTGTAATGTTAAAATTTAGTAAAGTATTTGTAAAACTAAGTTTTTTAGAAAAATTTGTTAAATTAAAAAGTTTCTAGACTGTTTAAAAAATGTGAAACTATTGAAAAAAATAATTAGATGTTTAGAAAATTTTAATGAATATCAGAAAAAAGTGAAATTTCCAGGGCAACCCAACAAGTTTTTCTAAAATTGACTTTGAAAAATCCTGCAAAAACAGGTTTTGGTTTTGCCTTTTTGATAATATCTCAATGAGTTTTAATCTGTTTTTAATAAAATATATATCAAAATAATCAGTTTGGTGAGCTAAACAAAGTATTATTTTCTCAGCAGCCAGATGTTGTTGAAGCTTGAAACCTAGCTACCTAAAAGCAGAAAAGTGTTCTGAACAAGTTTACTTAAGAGCAAAAATAAAGTTAACTTAATAAAATAATTAGAAATAATTAAATGTTTTTAGCAAAAATTTGATACAAGTAATCTGCAGAAAGAGTTACTTTTTTTATAAATTTGTAAATTGATAAGAAAAATATTTAATTAAAATATAATAAATTTATTTTTAGCAAATCTCAAAATGTAAAAATTGGCAGTAGCAAAAAACAAAAAATAGAAAAATAACAGATACAATAGAAGAAAACCTAAATAAAAAAGCCTACTCTGGGCAAAAAACTACTCATATAAGATACAAAGCAAAGATATAACCACCTTAACTATACAAAGCAAAAGTAAAAAGAAAAAATTTAATACTTTCAACTAAGAAGGCAAACTAAGGCTATTAGGGCTATTAGTAATACAAAGTTACAAAGTAACAATACTAGGCATGATAAGTAGCAATTACAAATATCCTACTAGACAGCAACAACATTGTACAAATCTAGATGCTATTTACAAAGATGCTTACAATAAAAAAAGACATACTGTTCCTTCTTAAATTTCAGCTAGCAACAAAAGTAGGTGATACAGCATACTCTTTACAAAACAAGCAATGATATTATCTTTAGCAAACTAGTATAACAACAATACAATACAAACTAGCAACAACAATAATACAACAAACTTCATAGAAAAAAAAAATAATACTAACACAGTAATAATCATACACAACACACAAGCTCATATAGCATAAAAAGAAATCAAACAACTATGTCACAGAATCAGAAACCAGATATAGAAATAAGTGATCAATACAACATAGAACCTATACTAATTGAAATGCAAAACCTCTACGAAGCAATAACAAATAGCAACCAAGCTATAGAACTAGAAAAAAACAATCAAATAAATACAGAAAAAGAACAAACAAACAACCTCATAATGCTAAACACAAGCAACAAATCCACATATAGTTAAATAGTTTAAAAAGATGCAAGTGTAAATGATATAACAAAAATGGAAACTAACTATATGAAACATGGACCTAACAAGTAAATGACAACCTGAAGACCAAAGTCACAACATTATTTAACTGCATAGAATAGTTATATAATAGCATAATTAAAGCATATAGATTTAAAAAAAAGATACAAGCATTTATTATATATAAACTACAAACAAATCTAACTCAAAAACCAATCTCTTTTGCAACTAAAACAAAATTTAGGCATACTGATCTATCCTTTGTCACAATCTTTATATATGCCAAAAAATTCATGCCATCACATCAAACTAAATATAACCAAATGTTTACAGATGCACTAAAAAATTACAAAATTACAAATGCAATAACCATTACCAACAGAGATATCCGAAATCTAATTTATATAAAATTAAAACAAAAGTTAATTATAGATTACACAACAAGCTTGAATTTTAAAACTTGACCTTTCAAACATATAGCAAAAGCCTTAAAATACTATAAGGGTTTTACAAAAGATGAAACTGTAATAGATATATAGGCAATTCAAAAAGCATTAAATAATGTTCTAACATTATATATAGCAAAACTATCTGAATTATCAAAACTTATTTTTAAAAAAATACAAAATATTCTTCTTTTTACTCTACCAATTATATATAAATCACAGACAAGAGCAATTGTTACAGCCTTACACAAAATTTACTCCTTCAAACAACTTCCAAAAACCTACTTCACTAAACTTTCACTTTTATCAGCAGACTCAGAAAACTTAGATGAAGCAATAAAGAATTTATTTTCAATTATACAAAGAAGAGAATTTACAAGATTAACTTACTATAAAAAATAACTTCAAGACCATTATAATTGTAAAGAAATACCTAGTCACTACTTTAAATTATCATCACCTATTCCTATAAAATTCTTCTTACCATAGGCATATTAAGATATAGAGGACTCACAACTTAAACAACACTTCTTAATTAATAGAGCAAACCTTCAAGTAAATATGAAAGACATAACAGCATAGTTAAGAGAACATTACACCTTTTAAGTTATATCAAATAACTACTTTAAAGCAAAACCAAATCTTTCAAAAGATCTCTTCAAAATCAAAACTACAAATACTTACTTCTTCCTGATTACTAATGGCACAATAGCAAAAAACTTCATAAATAAAATTAAAAGTATATATAAGCTTACTATACCTTTTTCAGAAACAATTATAACAGCAAATTCAACAGATAAACTCAGACTATCTACAAACCTAACTGAAATTACAGACTACAACCTAATCCTGCCAATTGACATATCTAAAAGACTTACAAAAACAGTATAAATGCTAAGACAAACATACTACTTTCAAAAAATACCTGAAAGCTGGATTCAAATAACTAATAGTGCATATTCACAAAACATTGGATCTGATATATTATTAGATTAAAAACCTGAAATTCCAAATTTAATTAAAAAAATTTAAGAAGAACTGAATACAAAGAATATAGAAATGACAAATCTAGATCTACCTATTACTTAACAAAACAAAGCAACTGAAATACTAAAAACCTTAAGAGAACACTATACAATAAAAGAAATTTCTAAATTCTTTCTTGCACTTCCACCTCTTTTAAAACCTAATTGGGGAATATTTTGCCCATATGCAAAATAAATAACAACAAAAAAAGATAATAACCTAACCTCAATATTCCAAAAACAAAACACATCACTTTTTCAACTAAATAACAACAATTCTATTAATGTACTATAAACCTCTTCTAATAAAAGTTTTATAGATATCAAAGTCATCTTAATATTGTAACTCACAATGTATAAAGACCTAACAAACTACTAAAACTACAGATCTGGCTAAAACATTGTGCCAAAAACAATTATCATATTGTCTCAATTATAGAAACTAAACTCAAAAACTCTTTTGTTTTAACACTTTCCAATCTACTTTCAAAATCTATACATTCAACTTTGAATCAAAAACAACTCTTAATGTGAAGCTAGTATGAGAACTGCAATTATGCTTCATTATAAACTTCAATCTTATATATTTAATATACAAACAGTAGCAGGCATAGCAATAAGCATTAACTTCCATTTATCTTCAAATAATAAGCTTCATCTTATTTCAATATACCTTTTATTAAACCATCTAGAACAACTTAAAACTGCACAAAACATAGTCAACAATTGGTTATCCCAAGCAAGAAGCCATAACTGGTATACAATTATAATTAGTACTTTTAATGATAATCATAACTACCTTAAACAAACATCAAATCGCTTTATTACACTTCAATCACTATCATCTACTAGCCTAATAGAATTCTATAATCTATATAGCAAAGAGGATTAAACCAAAGCCAAATAGATGACATATAGGTCAACTCTGAGATTTTACTAAACTTCAGTTTATCCAATATTGTCGATCTAATAGATATTACAAACAGTGATCATAAAATAATTGTTACTATATGAAAAACAAATTTTCAGCTAAAACTACTACAATCTAAAAAGAAAAAAAGAAAAATATATTCATATCATCAAATGTTAACAGACAAATGAGAAGACTTCGCTAATACATTTAAATTAGAATTTAAACCAATACCTTCAACACAAAACATTACAACAATACAACAACTAAACAAATTTTAAAACAAATAGTCAAACTTAATCAAGAAAGTTGCAAATCAAATTATACCAAAAACTTATACAGCTTCTAAAACATATTATGCCTATTCTCTCAAAGCAACCAAATTACATCTAATATTCAAACTAACAAACAAATATCTAAATAATATTAGATATTTAAGACTATCAATTTTGATAAATTCTGTTATACAAAACACTAATAATTTACTACAACAAATATCCTTTTATACAGACCAGGCCATTAATCCTTGTCAACTCAAGACAATACATTCAACTATTATTTCTTTTTGCAATCCTTGAAACATCTCCAAAAGACCTTATAAAAAGCATGAAGCCTTGAAATTCAAAATGCTCAAAAAAAAAAAATTAATTTTTACATTTAAAGAAAATACAATGATATAGAGACTAATACTTCATGAATAATAAATAATATACTTAAACATAATCAAAACCAGATGTTATTTGATAAGATTATAATACCAGACAAAATAATTAATAACTTAAAAGAAATAAAACAAGTAACAGGAGAACATTTTAACAACTGGACTAAATGCAATCTAACAAATATTCAATTCAAGCAAGAATGGATATTAGCCTTACAACCCCTACTACACATTAACTCTAATATATACAACAGCTTGTTACAACCAATAACTTTTCAAGAATTAACAGAAACTATAACCTCTTTACCAATTCACAAAGCTATAAGACCTTCTGGAATTTTGAACAAAATGTTACAACATTTACCCAAAGTAGCAAAGCAAATATTACTAGACATCTTTAATGCATGTCTTTTAATAAAAAAAACATTAAGTAGTTGGAGATACACAAACTAGTAATATGAACCAGTTGGAGTATAATTAGTTAACCAACTTAAATCAAATAAATTTTGGGTATTGGTTGAATAAATTTTTAATTAGTTGAAAATCAGTAATAGGTAGAAGAATTGAGAATGAGCAAGAATTTCAAAAAAAGGTCTAAAAAGAAAAATAAATAAATATAAAAGATAAGCAAGCTTGAGACTTTTCAAAGATAAAGCATGAAGTAATCTTAACTGATTGAATCAGTTAGTATAAAATATTTTGGTTTGGTTAACTGATTAAGAAAATTTTTTTCAGTTCAAATTATTAATGCAAACATATAGGCAATCTCAAAAAAACAACATTACAATAATGACCTTACTTATACTTATCCAATTACATTAATTAAACATACTTGAAAAATCTTCACTAAAATAATTACTCTTTGACTTAACAAGATCTTTACTCAACACTCAATATTAAATGAAAACAACAACAGTGCACTTTCTTTTACTTCAACTTTTTAACCTATACAAACTGTTTCTCATATAATAAAACATGTTAATTTAACAAAAAGCCAATATTGGATTTTGGCACAGGATATGTCTAAAGCTTATAATACAGTTTATATACTTTTTTTAATTAAAATACTTTAGTAAATACATATACCAACCTCTATAATCAATTTACTAAACTATATTCTTAATAATAGGCAGAATTTAGTTATTATAAATATTAAATTAATACAACCTTATATAGTATAAGATGGAATAGACTAAGAAAAAGCTTTCTTCCTATTTCTATAGAGAATCTATTATGATCTACTAATTTATCATATAAATACAATATACAAAAAATACTGTTTTAATATACATATCCATTACTCTACTTTGTTAATATATACCTTAGTAGTAGCATATATGAACGATACAATATGGATAGCTAAAGACAAACAAGAACTGCAAAACATACTAAAAACAGTTAACTCATTTCTTTCATATGCCAACATCAAAGTCAATTCTAGTAAATCAACTCTTATCATCAACAACTTTGATCCTAAAGTGAAAATAAGATTTCAAGAAATAGTGATATACAATATTAAACCAAAAACAATTTTTAGACACCTGGGCACATAGTTAACCAGAAATTCAACTCTTCAACTCACAAAGAAATTCTTAATCCAAGACATTATTTCAAATCTTAACAAGATTAAATTAGCAAAAATAACAAAAAAGCAAGCTATATACATTATTAATAACATTATTCTAACTCATGCAGCATACTAAATGCAAAGCACATATCTATTAAAACACAACTGTTCTACAATTACAAATCTCTATACAAATATAGTAAAACAAAAAGCTAGGCTAGCTAAATCTATACCAAATTCTACAATTTATCATCTAAACATATATGCACTAAATATATTATACAATATTCAATAATAACAACAAATTTGTATACTAGATAAAAGTATCAACTTACCTAATTTTGACAAGCAAAGTTTAAAGATATGATTACAACAAATTCAAAATGATGCCAATTCAAATAAATTAATTTTGACAGAACAACAAGTATTAACTATGAATAAGGCAAGAACAAATACAATCCAAATAATACTTACACTTCATATACTTAAAATTCAACTAAAATATTTAGCAAATCCATAGCTAATTCCTAAACAAACAAAAGGCACAACTATTAACTAAATTCTTAAAATATAAAGCAATCTTAATCAATTAAACAAAAACTAAATTCTTATAATATCAGTTGCATTGAACAATTTCTAAACTATACAAATTGCAATATACTAAACTGAAAAGCCTTTCATCACAATATACAAAAAATAACTAGAAGAAAAACACCAAAATGGTTTAAAACAATTACTGATAATATAACCTTTTCATCAAACCCATCTACAACACTTAGATACCCTAATCCATATATTTTCATTAATATAAACAATCTTAATTCTCAATAAATAATCACAAAATCCCAAATTTTTGGCAAAGTAACAAGTATTAACAACAACTTAGCTAGAATTAGGCACTACAACAATCATCTACTAAATGGACAACAACTTATTCTATGCTTTGGATGTGAACTTAAAAATTCAAAACTTAATACAACTTATTGTTACTTTACAACTTTAATATAGCTAATTTTTAAAATACAAGTTGCTTATTACAAATAAATTCATGCAAACCTGAAGTGCTTATATTCTCAATAAAGAAAAACTAACCAAATTAAACAAGATCAAAAACCTTAGCTATTAATAAAAAAATATCATACTAACTATAGATTTATTCAAGCCTTTGCAAGAGAGCAAGAAGAACTATAGAAAATCTTTACAACAAATGCTCTTTCAAAAAAATTAGAACTTACATTAATGTCAAACTACAAAAAAACAAACAAACATAATATATCATCTACCCAACTTGCATTTCTACATGATAAGCAAACTTGGCATTGTACAAATCAAACATTTTCTTCTTTAACTTACATAATATTAATAATGCTAACAATAATATTTACAGTAACAACTGCAGAAACAAGTATTCAAATTTCAACAGACAACAGTACAATTAAAAACAAAATTACAACAATACTTTCAACCCAACTCAAGCTAAGACAAAAACTTAAAAAACCTACTTTAACAATATAATTAATCTCCTAAATACTATAGTAAATACAAAAAACTTACAAATTCAAATCAACACAATAGAGAAAAAGATCAATATAAAAAATACATTATATTAATTTCATACAGACTTAATTCTAAGCAAAGTACTTAATACTACATTTATTCTATATATACTAAACATACAAACTACATATACAATCTATCAAATACCCAAAATTCTACAACATGCCAAAGCAATTACAATATAGAGCAATTAAAAATGTATTAAAAACATTATAAGCTGTTTCTTAAACATTAACTAGAAACTTATATTTGTATATCTAAACTTTTAAAACAAACCACTAAGTCGAAACACTGATCCTAAAAAATTATTACTAAAAACATTTAAAGTCAAAATTCTAATTTCAGAACTTTCAACTCATCTAAATTTATATAACAGAAACCCAAAATCTCATACTAATTCATGTTGCGCAAAGTGCCCTAACATACCAGAAGATATTTACTATATGCTAACTTGTTCTCACAACCAAGTAGAACTAAAAAAAATAATAAAAAAAACAATTATCAAAATTTGTAAAAACAATGTGACTGAATTATTTATTGCATCTAACTTAGCTCAAGAAATTCAAAACATTCATATAAAACAAAAAATTTTAATAGGAATTATATTCAACAACTTAACCAATGTAGAGCTTTTAAAGAAGAAGCTAAATCTGCTTTTAAATATATATTATTGAATCACAAAGAAAATATATAAACATATATAGAAACCAAGTAAACAACATCTTTAATATTACTTCTCACTTTCATTAACTTCTTTTGAAAACATAAATACTATATCTACAACTTCTATAGATAGACAATACATGATATGACTGAATAAATTTATACAATTTAACCAAATACCTCCTCTTATCAAATCTATAAACTAAAGGTTTCTTAATCATTCTAGCTAAAAATAAGTTAAAGGTAAATTAGCTCTAATTCCAACTTCTTTAGTTTAATGTATTATTTTTACTAATATACTTAATTATATATTACCAAAATAAAGGACTAGAGAAAAGACTTTTCTTATAAAAAAAAAAAATTATTTTTAAATCTTAATATTATAGTATATATAATCCTAAAAGTATAGTTTAAAATAACAGTCATTAGATTTAACAACACTCTTTTCTGTAGATCTCTTAACCAAAAATTAGTAAGAAGCAAAATATAGAAAATATTGCAAAATACACTAAGAAGCAATACTGAAACCCTTAGTAAAAAAGAAAAAATCACAAAAGTTACATCTAGCTAAAGAACTAAATATAAATAGAAAAGCTTAAAGGTAGCAGAGCTTGGAAAAATAAAAATTTTTTCAACAAAACAAAAATTTTTTTGTAAATTTTAGAGAATTTCTGTAACCCTGTTGCACAGATCAATTAGGTTATACAGAAAATACAACAAAACAAGTAAGATAAACAAACAAGCATGTGTATGAAATTAGTCTATCAGAGCAAGCATATAATATAAAGACAGCTATATTAAACCAACTGATGAATAAAATGACAAAAATCAGTATGGAAGGAAATACATATAAAGTAAGACCTGGGAGCCTATTAGAAAAGGTGTTAGAAAGATCAACAGCACAAAGCTTACAAAGAGTCAACAATAAAAAGCTAGTTAAAACACTAGAAACAACAGATGTTATAGAAACAAAAATAGACAGATATACAGCATTATTGTTTGCAGCAGAGGTAGCAGATATAGCAGCAGTAAGAGCATTAAGTGAAGCTATCATATAGGTAGACAAAAGAAGTAAATTGATAAATTTTAGCTTTAAAATGATGGATAGCTTACAACAGCAAAGAGAAAGAGAAACAAAAAACACAGTCTAGACAAAAGAAATAGTTGAAACAAAAGAAAATAAAGAAAGAGAAAAATATAAAGAAGAATTCAAAAAATATGAAACAAATAAGAAACAGATAGTAATAGATAAAAAACAAAGATATATAGCATAAGAACAAGATATAAAAAAAGCAAAAAAAGACAAAAAGACTTTATAACACATTTCAAGTCTAGTAGAAGCAGAAAAAAAGAAAGAAAACAAAGAAGAAGATTTAACAATACTGCAAGAAAATGCAACAGAAGTACTGCTAGAGCAAAGCATCTGAGCATCAGACAACAGATCATGCAACAATGAAATACCAGTAATAGCAAAAATTCCTGTCTATAATGTTTCAGGTAGAACAAAGTCAGAAAGAATAGGCATAGTAAAATAAATGCTTAATGCAAATAGACATATTACAAAAATTGAAAAAGTCTTTGTAAAAGGCAATAGTTGGATCAAAGTATCATTTGATTGCAAAAGAGAAAGAAAAAAAGCAATTAATTGAATAAAGTGAAAAAGTAAAAAGTGGTTTAATTTGATTCTAGTTGAAACACAAAACTAAGCAAAGAGTAAAAAAAAAACAAGATGAAGCAATAACAAGTGCAGAGTAAAAGATAAATAACAAAGAGAAAATGAAAGATCTGAAGGCTCAAAATAAAAAGAGCCTAACAAAAAGAAACACAATAAAGCAAAATAGAAAAGCAAGATAAAACTAAAACAGAAGCAAAAAGATGGCAAACAAAAAGACTAGAAGAAGCAGAAACAACAAAATTCTTAACAATTTGGAACTTATTATCAGACATTAATAAAAAAAAACTGAAATATATGTGCAGAAATATAAGAAATATGTATATAATATGAATCACAAAATTACAATACAAAGCACTAGCAGTTATAGTAGCAGATTATGGAGAGGAAAGAGACAATATATAGGAATTATCTCTTGGCAACTATAAATTGGCAAAAGTAACAGAAGAAAATGAAAACTATATGCAAAGAGAGAAACAAAGTTATTTTATAACAAAATTACTAGACATCTCTAATGGAGCATCAGAAGTGCTTTTATTAAGACATCTAAGGAATAAGGAAGCAAAGATAATATATATATCATTTAACAGAAATGAGAACCAAAAAAAGTTTACAATAATCACCTTTGCAAATGCTCAAAAAGCAGAGACAGCTCAAACAACACCAATATGGTACAACAACTATCAAATAAGTTGGAAAAATCCTAAAAAAAAAAAAACCTACAAGAGAGAAGAGTTAAGAGACAAAAGACAAAAAAGATCAAAGTCAAGCAATAAGAGACAGTCAAAATACAAAAGACAGGAAGCATCAAGAGTCAAAGGTACAAGACATGAAACACCAATCAAGAGATATAGAGAAATGGAAAGCAATTCTTAGTTACAAAATATAGAAGCATGGTTAGAAGATAAAAACACAGATATAAAGGAAGAAACAGCAATAATAAAAAAAAAGAAAGCCAAAACAAATATACTAAATCAAAAAAGAATATTACCAGTAGAAAATATCTTATATTAAATATTAGAAAAACTAGATAAAATAGAAAAAACAGCTAAGAGTAAGAGAAGATCTAGCAGATCACTCCTAAGAGTGCCTTAGTTGAGTTTAGAAATACAGATAAGAAGATTAAAGCCTTTCTACAGGGGGGTACCATGGGTTACCAAACAGTTTGTCCATGCTGCAATAAAAAAATTTTTCACATATTAATTGTCAAAAATTTATCCATATTAGAATGCACAAGATGATCTTGTTTTATTTATATTAAAGAAAAAACCTAATTACACATATTTTATTCAAAATCTGAATTAATGGATCACTGATTATTAAAAAATAGCTTTATGGGTTAATAAAAAAAAAACCAGCTTTAATACAAGTTTAAAAATAATATTATTAGAACGAGATCGACTTTGTAAACATGAATAATAATAATTTTTGTTAGTTTAGTTGTAAATAAAATTTCAATGATCATTAATTTAAAAATTTTGTTTAATAACTTCATTACTAGATTATAGCTCTATTTTTGAAATTAGGTAAACATTTAAGGTCACATTAATATTAAAATTTCATGAGGAATATTTTTTATTAATGTGCAGTAAGGTATTATATAGGGCAAATTTTAAGTTACAACCATTTTTTGGAGCATTGAAATTTAATATTCAACATTAGTTTGTCTATTCGTGTTGATATCAGTGAATTTCAAATATCATTCAAGTTCCTTTTTTTCATCCTTGCCTGGGTCTATGCATTTTTGTGTTAGAATCTATCACTAACTTGTCTATTCAAATTGCTATTTTAGTAGTATTTATCATTAGATGAGAATTTAATATATGATCTAAAAAAAAAACCATTGTAGGTAAGCATATAATATATCAACTAGTTTTATATATTAAAAACAATAATGTTTTATTAATTTATACTAGAGGGTTATTATTATCCACTAATGTTTTTAGGCATTGACCCATTGCAGTGTCTCAAATACAATTATATAAATCTAAAGCTTAGATTAATATAACATAGAACACATATATCATTATTGTACTAAACTTTCTTACATTAGATCATCATAACTACATGATACAATCATTGTTTTGTCTCAATTGCTGAAACTGGGTTGGAATGAGCACTACTATGTAAATTAATTAATGTCAATAATTACTTAATACATAATATAATTTGTATAATCATACCATTTCTGAAATCCCAGATTCTTACACTTTAGTCAAAATAACCAGACATGATTAAACTAGATTGTAGACAGTAATTAGCATAGAAGACATAATTCGAATATCCTTTAAGAACTTTGACAGCTTTATTCTGTATTATATGCAATTAAGTTGAAGATGTAATATTACAAAAATTTATATAAACAGTAGTAAAGCTATTAATTACCTGATTTAAATGCTTTTTTTTAATCTTGCCTATATCTATATTGTTTCTGTAACAAAATCTAATATTAACTTGTCTAGCAAAATTCCTCTTTCAGCAAATTTTAAATATATCTTTTTTTTAACCTTAATTGTATTTATGCCATTTCTGTAAAAGAATTCAATAGAATTCAACATTAGCCTGTCTATTCAAATTGTTACTAACAGATTTCAAGTACTAGTAAATTTCTTTTGTTATACTTGCCTGTACCTATGCCATTTATGCGACAAAATTTAACATTAAAATGTTTATATGAATTCCTATTTCAGCAGCTTTCCAATATTAATCAAATGTTTTTTTTTTATTTTAGCTATATGCTATTTCTGTAACAGATTCAAACTTTAGTTGTCTATTCGAGTTGTCATCAGCAAATTTTAAATTTTTTTATACTTCCATGTATCTATTTGAATTGCTGCCTTTAGTAGTTCTCATGCTTTGCATTTTTGTCATACCAGATTCTAAGAAGAGTCAAGAGGACAGTACATAAGACAAATAAAATATTTAGAACTGTATAATAAATAATTGAAAGCTGATGATCAAATGCATATATTACACAAGGGGAAGTAAAAAAATATAAATTCTAAAAAATAAAAATAAAATAAATAAGCTTTATATTTTAATTATAATATATCAAAAGTTAATAATATAATAAGATCTTAATATTATAAATTGTAAATACCTTTTTTATCTAATGTATAAATTATAACTAAGATAATATGAATTAAGTGGTTTAAGAACAGATAACTAAAATATATTTATAAAAATTATTAGGACTAGTAGATAGATCGCATTTAGTTGTCATTGATTTTTATGTAAGTTGAGCAAATAGAATACTTTGTAATCAATTTTTTTTTGTTTTTTTTTTAAATAGGCTAATATTTTGTATATATATAGCATAGCATTAGCAATTACAATACAATTCAGAAATCAATTGGCCTACCATTAGCACTATAACATGCTTTTACTTGTCTAATTATACTATTAGATAACTTGTAATAACATTTAGGTGAAATCGAATACCAGGCAGCTTTAACTTTAATTTTCAAGTCCTTAATGCTTGTAAGTAAGTCTGGAAAACTGCGTAAACATGTTTCAACCTTTTGTCAAAGGTTCTCTATCGGATTAAGGTCTGGACTTTGAGCAGGCTATTTTAATACAGAAATATTAGCATTTTTGAAAACATTTTTAGCTTTCCAATATTTGTGAGAAGTTACATTATCTTGCTAAAAGATACCTTATCAGAGAAAAATTCAGAACCAAAATTAGTTATGCACAAAAAAATTTTATGTGCAAAGCTAGTGATATGCTATTTATATGATACTTGTATTTTTTTAGTATACAGTCGTACAGTAGTACAGTACATACAATAGTACAGTACATATAGTATATATATGTAGTAGGATTTTTTTATATCATAAGTTCAGACTATTTCATAATTGTTTCGAAATATTCAAGAACTTATAAATGTTATAGAATTTTTTTTACTGTACCTTGTCCATTAGGTACTAATTGATGTATAGCAGAAATAGTATATCTTCTTATAAGTTTAGTATAAACTTCACTATTTATAGTACTATGAATAGGAACTATAGATCCTAACCCATGCCATGAGAAACACCTCCAGAACATAAGACAAGGACTATGTCCTATAGTAGAAACAAGACATGATTCATCAAACTCTTCAGCTGAAATACACCAAACTCGTATATTATGACTTTGATCAAATTGTACAAAAAAAGATTCATCTGACCATACTACATTTCGTCACTTATGAGCTGACCAATTCAGATGTTCTTCTGCTCAGACTTTCTGTTTTAGTCTATTCTTAGCACTAATTAATGGCTTATGACATGCAATACATGATTTAAGACCACATTTTTTTAAAGTATGACAAATTGTAGAAATAGAAACTTTTTGGTTTTTTTCTTTTTTCTATAAATCTTGTATTTCTTTAAAGCTTAATTGATGGTATTTGGTATCTTGTATAACTATTTTTCTAAGTTCTTCTAATGCAGATTCATTAAATATAGCTTTTGAACTAGGATATTTTCTTGGCATAATAGATCATATTTGAGTATACTGTTTCAAAGTATCATGCATAGTGGTTTTATCATATTTGATATTTTTGGCAATGGTTGCCAAAGAATCCCCATATTTATGGCTGTAAAGAATTTCTTCATGTTAAAGATAAGATAATTTTTTTTTTGTCATTAAGCTACAAGATCTTAAAAGTTAAATTTAGGCAAATTATCTTTTTTATATATAGAAACTTTGGTTAATATAGTAAGTTTAATTTAGTTTATTATACTTTTAATAAACTTGGTAGTCAATA